AACTGTCCAAAAGTGTAGCTGAAAACTAAAATAACCCTCCCAAAAGAAACAAGCAAAAAATCTGATAGTGTTACTGCCTTCCAGGGGAATTTTATGTTTGTGAGAGGAAGTCATAACATGTTTTCTGGCTCTGCAGGTATAATATGAGCAGAACAGAGGATTAAAATAGCACCTGTTCATTTTGTTGCAAAAACAACTTTTCTTAATTTCCCTTGTGAAAACTTTCCTTCTATGAAAGTAACATACCTCTTTAAACTATCTTTTCATGCATACTGGAGGTAGTGTGGTGCTGCATGAAAAATAGGAGGTGTATTACTGAGGTTTTATAAAATGACCAACTTAAAATCTATGTAAAGCTTTATTATGTTTGTTTTACTGATCAGATTGAAAGATTCAGGGCAGATGGTTTATCTGTTTATGTAGGGTAGAGGCATGTGTTTAGAAGAATAGATGGTTTGAGAAGAAGAAAATGAAAAGGAAGGGACAGAAATGTGTATATTCTGGCAGAAGGAAGGAGATGCAGATGAGTTAGTGCTTCTAGCATAATTGGAAAGAGGAAAAATCCTGTTGTAATAGAAGTAAGTTGGGTTAAGCAGAATGAAAAATATATCAACAATGCAGTTATTTGCATTGGAACACTGTAATAAAATAGAGTGTTCCCAAAACAAAGTTTGCTCAGCGGTTTTAAACTTCTGACTGCAATGGCTAAGAAGTGGGAGTGACACTGACATATCAGATGCTTTACCCAGTCCTCTTAGGGTTCATTAAAATGTAGGTACAAGTAGATCAAAGGATATACAGCTTTATACCCCTGTCTTTACCTTGTTATGGTGTATTTGTATATCTGATCTCATGTCTTTCTGGTAGATGCATGAGTAATGAACATACAGCTGTTTAACATCTGGAAATGAGGTCCTCTTTGCAGTAAGGCTTTGTGTGTTCGACAAAGATGTTCACCATTGACTTTGCAATTGATTCGGTAGTCATTAAGGTGACTGGGGCAAAATTCAGTTAATTATGACCCCCAGCTGCCTTTGTGGGTCAAGGAACAGTTTTCTTTAAGACTGATTTAACAGTAGTACCAGTTTGACTTACATTTGATGACAAGAGAGACAGTTAACCAGTAAGTGTTGTCCTACTGCCTGTGGTTACCTAACCCATTCCTTTTTTTTATATGGTGCCTACTTCTTTTTCTCTGTTTCAGGAAAATTTCTCACAGGAGTCTGATATGAAAATGTCCTTGATGCTGCTTGTAAGGCACCAAAGATGTTCTCAAAGAATATGGAGGAGCCTCAATAGACATTTTAGTTTCAAAGAAAAAAGACTGGTCTTCATCACAGCGTAGATAAGAGGAGTCCCAGTGTTTAATTTCTACCTTGCATCTCTGTCTAAGCGCAGTCCTAACAGGTCTCCATTGACGGTTGTCTTTCAGCGCTTGCACTCTGCCTGGCTCTCCAGAAATTAGGCAGTGGGGTTGAATCATTACCAGTAATGATTCTTGAGAGTCCTTGTGGTAATAAAGTTCTTAATAAATTCTTAGTAGTTGAAATTACACATCTAAATCGTGTGTGCCTGTATCTGGGTAACTGCCTCCAGGGAAGGTCTTGCTAGAAGATCCCGAGGTCTGTTTGGATCATATTCCTTTCTCGTTGTCTCAGCTGGGACAGCTTGAGGTGTGGAAGAGCCGTCTTGCTGGACAGAATTTGTCTGAGCTGTAATTAATGTCTCATTGTCAAATACATATTTTCCAGAGGACAATTTCCAAGTCTTTCAGGAATACATGAAAATGTGTATGAGCTCTTCTGGATTATTAACCCCGTGAGCACCCATGTTCATGATACCCTTCGCCTTCAGGTTGTTGCTGACAGTTTTTAATGCTAGTTTAAGCTACCGTGCTTTGCTTCACGCTTGCAGTATGTGAAGAACATGGTGCTGGTGAATTGATATAAGAAGTTATTTTGCTGTAGCAGTTGGATCCTCAGAGCTGGCTGAATGTGCTTGTAGTACTCTGTTTGCTGCACCAGTCCCTTTGCACACTGCCAGGTGACTCCTACCCATGTTAGTTAAGATCAGCTTTTAGCCTGTGCTACGGAGGAAATGTTTGAGTTGTTAGGAGCAGTAGTACGTAGCATACCTTCATCTGTAGCTTGGCTGGCTCTGTGCAGGCAAACGGGAAGAGATTTCTCGCACGGGCCCTGCTGGAACGGGGATGTGGGGATCCACCAGTAAGAGGCTGACACACGGTCTGCGAATTTCACTCTCGTTCTTCCCCAGTTGCCTGAAAACTAGGCCCAGTATCTTTGCTGCCAAACAATTTCTCTTTTTAAGGCTGGGAATGTGAAAGATTTTCCATTCAGTTTTCTACTTTTTTTTTTTCTTAAAAGCTCGGTATCTCATGCAGATATTCCAAATCAACAGACCAGAGTGAGAAGATGTACCTTGGTAGATGAGCTGCGGTTTTGGTGTAGATGCTCTGTAGTTGTGGCTGAATTTTTTTTGTTAGGCAGATCGTCTGGCCACTGTTAGCTCTGTCCTGAATGATCAAATCCGTTCAAACATGGAACGGTACGTTAACTCTGTGTAGGAATGTAGGAAGTATGTTGCTGATTTGTGTTTTGTATTGTGGTAAGCTAATATGAATGCAGAAGAAATAGCACTTGTGGAAGAGAACTTGCACTCAAGTTGTTAAACAAGAGAGAATAACTGGTTGTAGATAAACTCCCAAGCAAATGGGACAATGTTGATTAGCCTGAGGCAAATGCATTTGCAGTGTCGTAGCAACCTAGCTTGTGTTCTCCATAAAAGATTTTTAAGGAGAAAACTGAATGGAATTCATATTTCAGCTATTTACATGATTATTGGTTGAAATCTGAGCAAATGCAAGAGGAAGAGTCAAGGTTTTAGTTTTGAAAATCTGACAGATGGGCCAGGGAGGCTCCTAGCAGGTACAAGTGAGCCTGTTGATGCTAACCAAGATAAGGAGAACTGAAACAGATGCTGGAGAGAGATATGATTGTTAAAATTAATTTTTACAATTTTGGGTTGCAGGATTATTACCCCAAGCAGTTATTACAAGGAAATAGAAGGGGAGCTAACGATGTAACTAAGGAATCAAGGACTTGCAATAAATCCAGCTCTTTCATTGTCCTCTGTGATCTTTTGTAATGGTAGTTTATCTTACTTAGCCTACATCCAACAAAAGAACAAGTCTGTGGGTACAAAAGATCTGTGTAAGTACTAATTATTTTGTTAGAACTTAATACAAATCAAGGTAATTAGATTTAAATAACCTCTTGCCAGGAAGGTATGTACAACCCAAGTGTGATATCTGACTCTCTGTCCTGCTGTTGAGTGCATTCAGACAGAACTTGATCCACTTTGTGAACAAGAAATTTGCTTGTTGTTTGTCATGCTTATGAAGGGAAGCAAAAAAAAAAAACCAAAAAACAAAAACCCAAACCCTTGCTTTCTTGTTTCAAAATTTTACTTTACCTTTACAGCTTCACTGTATGTCTATATATTGCTTCATTTAAATTTGTAGTTAGACTTTAGAATTTCTGCAAGCTCTTTAGGCAGAGTGGGTACATACATGCTAGAAGAAGAAACTTAGTATGTGTATTCCAGGAAGTTTTTCACTCTTGCAATCAATGAGCGGCTTGTTAGCAATTTCTCTTAGCAGCTTTTCATCTGCTAGAAAGAAGAAAAAAAAAAAAATCAGGCTTACTAGAAGAAGAGGCATAAAGGAAGCCTTCTTCTGTACCTTTGTTTCTTGTGGTGGTTCTGTTCTACACTGAAGTGTGGCTCTAAAAATAAATATGCTTTTGCCCAAATGAAGAGAATAGTCACTCTAAGCCTCTAACTCCTCCTTCCTCTGCAGTTAGGAAAATGGAGCATTCAGTAATGTTAGAAAGGAATTTTGCGAAAGAAGCGAGAACCAAGAGCTTAACCATAAGTCTAGTTCATTCAGAACTTGAGTTGGCCCACAGAAATCTTTAATGAAGTAGTGTTTTGTGAATTCTGAAGCCTTGTAGAAAGGGTAGCAGATTTTTTTTCTGATTTTCAGAGAACAGTTTGTTTAATAAAAGTAAATGCAGTATTTTGACACTTTGGGTATTACTTATGCAGAAGTGTTCAAATAACACTTTTGGCTTTTATTTAATGGAAAATCCCATTTTGATTATTGGAGGGAAGTACGAGAATGAATGTAAGATATTTCTGGCCTCTGGTTTACACTTATTTCACAGTGGTATGATAGTACAGTTTCTGGATAAAGACCAATACGTGCCTTATACCAAAGCATTCTTGAGTTCTGCCCCAAGGTTTTTCAAGTGCTTGGGTATCGACTCCTTTGCCACTGAAACATGGTAGAAACTTGGCAATTTAACTAAAAAAAATAGTTTCATAATGATGGGGGAGGGAACCCATAACACGATGGGTTATATGAAGTCTTGAATTGGGCATGTTGTTATTGATCATCAATTTTTTTTTAATTGTGAGTTTAAAAAACCAAATCTGTGTACATAGAGCTTCCACTCCTAACACATTTAAATGAAGGGTACATCCAGCCTGTGTGTGTAGCTGGATTTAAAAAAAGTCCTCTAAGCTGTTCAAGAAAAAGATGCTATTACTGGCTTGCTGAGAGAGGATTAATTAGGAAATGTCTTCCCTTATCTGGATTTCTAGAAGTTACAGTGGTTCACTTCCTCTTAGCAGAGAATTATTATACAGAACGACAGTGTGCACTGTATTAAATAATGATGTTGTTATCTGTTTGTTCTCTGGGGCTCGGTGTCTTGGTTAAATTTGAAGTTATTTGCTAGACAGCTGTTCTCTTGTCAGATGAAGGGATCAGCTTGAAATAACTTGTAATGGAGTGTGGTATGTTTGAATAACTAAGTCAGGGAGAATCTTGAAATATGGGAGATCTCCGGGAAGATCTTTTGCATAAATACTAGCTTTACTCTGCATACCTTTTATTTCCCCCCCTCCCTTTTCTCCAGTACTGATACTCGAAAAGGTGGAAAATGGAGATCTGAGCAACAAGATATTGAAGATCACGGATTTCGGCTTGGCCAGGGAATGGCATAGAACTACCAAAATGAGTGCAGCTGGGACATATGCCTGGATGGCTCCTGAGGTCATCCGCTCCTCCATGTTCTCCAAAGGCAGCGATGTGTGGAGGTATTGATTTGGCATTAAGTGATTGGATATGAAGGAGTAACTACACCTGCCAGGAAACCTCTTTTATGTTTAAAAATGATTAATGGTGAACCAAATATTAAAATTCAGGTCTTAAGTAAACTTTATCCCCCAGCTTTCCATCTATCAGACTCTCACGCTACTTTGTATTAAGTGTAAACTTTTTTTACTGTGGGAAGTGGTGGACCAGCTCCTGCACACCTCTAAATTTTTGTTGTTCTATAAATTTACATTCAGATTATCCTAGGATTCATAATCCCAGTTCCCTCTGCTTTATCTGAAACAAACTTTTTGTGCTTATTTGGCTATTGGTTGACATAATCCAAGGCCATGAAACAATCTGTGAAGTACTTAGAATTGCTATTTTTTTTACTGTTTTACCAATAGGAAGAACTGCCAAAACATAAAATCGTATCTGTCACTGATGTATATGTACACAAACACACTGTACCTAATCAAATTCCCCCTGCAGTTTCAACCTGAATATAATGTTTTTCACTTTCAAAATAATCTTGTGAATTCTTTCCACACTTCTGGTCTTTCATATGAAATAATAAATCTCTTCTCTACAGCCATCCGAGTATGTAATCCATAAGTGGTAATTTCCACGTATGTATTGTCTTTTCCGTTCATGCACTGGGATTTTTGAGAATAGGAATTACTTTGGTGGGGAGGAGTATAAGGGTTGGCCCATAGACCTGGTGACAGACCTGGTTAATGGCCAGCATGCAGTGATCTGCAGAATGTACTGAAGATGCTCTTTGTAAACTTTATCAAGTTTGAATATGACCATTAAGTGAATTGGTAAATCCAGAATTCAGTGAACAGCTCTAGGAGAGTGACTTTTCTCGATGCTGTGTGACATAGAATCAGTACTGAAGATCTGAAACAGATGAAGTGGGTGGAATTTTGTTTTTCCTGTGGGGAGAGAGGTATTGAAATGTCAGGGTGACTTGGTCTTCAGAGCAGCGAGATTCTGTCACTGGCCTGTAATGCTCCCACACAAGTGTGTGCATGCTGTGAAACCTAGTGGGATAAAGAAATATCCCAGGTGGTAGAGTTGTCTGGCTGTCATGGCAGAGACTTGGTGTGGGGATTTTAATTTTCTTTATCCAGTTTTACTGAATAGATAATGTATTGCCCTGTGATACACCTGTGGGCTTGTATTTTGCACGCTAGTGGTGTGGTTAAAATTCTGACTCTGTTATTAAAGGTGGTAGCCTCGGTTGTTCTGAGGTGAACTCAGCAAGAGCTGGACTTTTATTCTGAGCAAAGTCTGGCAGAAATGAAAACCTCAAGCCTGTGCACCTTTTCTGTGCACGCATTGACAGTACTGGTTTGTACACAGCTTGTCAAGCTCAAACCTCAATTTGCTTTTCTCTGAAACAGTGCCAGGAATGGCCTTTAAGGGTAACCTAGAGAAGGGGGAAACAATTACCCTGTGATTGTAACTTTACTAATCCAGTCATCCCATGAACATCCTGTAGATGTTCTGTACCAGTCTGACCTCATTTTAAGACTTGAAAACAGGTTGAGTTCCCCTCAGTGCTTAACAGAGGGTCCTCACGATTAAGAGAGCTGTTACACCGTCTCTGAATAAGCCTTCTCTCTCTGGTGGCTAAAACGTTGAGCCGTAGTTAAATAAGCTGAAAATGGTGTTTGAGGCAGGTAGATAGAGGGCGAATACTTGCCAGTGCAGTCACTACTAGTGTGTCAATGGTTGTCAGTGCCGGATTTTACAAAACCAGTCGTGGACGTGTGTAATAAATCCTGTCCCCACCCAAGGATGCAACTTGAAATTTTTAACAGGATGGACTTTTTTATCTTATTAGACTTGCCCCTCTTCTTGTCCACTTCAACCTCTTGGTTAATCACTGGAGTTGAGGGATTTTTTAGGCTGATAACCTTCCAGTTAGTTTGTACAGCATCAACAAAACTGACCATTTCTGTCCCTAATGTTCGCAAACCCTTTTATTTCAACATCTTTTCTGTAAAGCTTATTAGAAAAATACTGCTGGCTGAGTTATTGCCCAGCCTTTTAACAAAAATCTTCTTCTGCTCATGTTCTTGCTACACAGACAGGTGAAGAAGATGCTGGAGGAGATGCTTGCCAGGACTGAAGCTTCCTGAGTCAGTCTTATAATAAATAACCACTTCATGCAATTCCTTTCAAAATATGTATCAAGCTCCATTTAAAAACCTCAATCTGTTTTTTTTGTCCCCATCTAAATGAGGGTTGGCAAAGAACTTACAAGGCTGAGGAATGCTCCCACCCACTGGTGTCTATCACCAGGGTCTGGGCCACTGTAAAGCTTGCTGATAATAACAGTACTTAGTACATCTTCCTACTGAAAATTTGTTGCTATGAATTTTGCTGTGCTACACCCACAAGCTTTAGGTATACAGCAGAAACCTTGTGCTTATATTGCACGGAGGACAAAGAAGCTATGGTCTTATTTAAATATGTCAGTTCCTGTAAATCTATTTATGTGTTTGAGAGGAGAGTTATGTATTTGCTTTGGATTTACAAGGGTGAAATTGAAGCACAGATATTGCAGCTTATCCCGTACTGTATGGCAAGCTAATGGTAGTAGGCATATAATTCAAATTTCCCTGTCATTTCAACTGCTTAAATGTGTTTCTTGTTTGCTGCACACTTCATTTTTTGACTTGTGCTGCTTAAAAGACAATCATGTTGTCAGTATGATTGGTGCATGGAAGATAAAGCCACCATACAACCTTCATCTGAGTTCCCTGTGTTCCTCAATTTAGGTGCTTTTAAGATGTAACTACTCTGAGACCAGTGAAATAATCAGGAATTTAATTTTCATTTAGGAGTGGAATACCAGAACTACCGAAGCACATCTGATTAGCAGATCAAGATGTTTCAGGCAGTCAGTGGTGGGTCAGAACTTCAGTTATTAGAATATTTCATTTGAATCAAGTGTTGGCGAGCACTTCCATCCACAACTGACTGCTTGCAGGCTTCTGTAGACTTCTGTGTGTAATGAAGCACTGGCAAGACTTCAGTACCTGGCAGATAAGTGTTGACTAGCAATACTGGTAGAAGCTCATGTGGGAGAAGTGTATGCAACTGGCAGTTGTGAAACAAGCAGGAAATGTCACCTCTGGAACTGCCAGTCCAATAATGTGCAAAATGCTAACTGTTAATAGCCATTAAAATGTAATGTAATGAAGCTTTTTTTTCTTAACAAAAGTAATATTCTAGTTTCTGCTGTTGCTGGGATCTCTTTGTTGAGCTGATAGTTCCTTTCTCACGGAAAGTGCTGAACCTAGGGAGATGGATAAGAGGGGCCTGCAGTGCAAATGCCATTGAACAATAACAGCGAGAAGAAAAAGTTCACAGACTTGCCAGGGAGGTGGCAAAATCACACGTGAAATCCTGCAGACCTCCAGCCTCCCTCTCCCTGACAATCCAGTGTGTAGGATTGAACCTGATGTTAAATGGCTTAAGGGATTACTGGATCACTAGGAGATGGTTAATTATTCATACAAGTGTCAGTTGACTTGGACACATGGTCAGTATCACATGGTTCATTTCGTAATTAAAGTCCAAAAATTACTACTGAGTGCTGGAAAAATAAATGAGCTTGATTAGTTTTCCTTTCTCCCTGTTGAGGAGAGGCCATTGATTCTTTCTTCCTATGCCTTTTTTGTGTAAATCTCTTCTGTCTCTGGTTTTTTCCATTGTAATTCCTAATCCCCTGCTTGAGAGTTAATGGAAAACACTCTGTTCAGCACCTCTCTTGCTGTTTAATCACTTGGGATGGTTGTTGTTCAAATGCCACAAAGCACTGTTTCCCTAGTTCTGCGGAAGCAGTATTCTCAGCAATGAACTCTATGTGAAGAAGAGGTGGCTTTCAGTTTTGTCACAAACAAAGTGACCTTTCCTGCAATATATACATACAGTGTCACGTTAGAAGAAATGACAATCTGTCCATTCCTTTGTCTTTTAAAAATTACCCTGCTTTGAGCACGTCAGTGGTGCTTTCCTAACCACTCCATTAAGAGAAATATCTAATACATGCTTTATCCAGCACTAATGGTAAAGTAATAACACAACTTTGGTAGTTTTTCCTGCCTTTTGATATCAGCACTTGCATCCCAACTGAAGAGTAACATGAACAATCAATCAGGCAAAATATATATTCAGTCCAGTATTCATTTTCTTGAACTGTTTTATGAATCCTAGGAGGCCAGAAAGAAATTGGGAAATCCTTAAACTCCTGTTTATTTTTTTTTTCAAGTGAGGCTTTTGAGACAGAAATTGAAAATCTTGATGGAAAAAAATAATCAATTATAATTATCCCTATAATATCAAGAGTATGAATTACATGGGGAAAAAAGCAAAATATTATATAGGCAAAAAAATTATATTTTGCTTATTAAAGTAAACAAACTGTGTTAGCAGCAAGGGTGGAAAGGCCAGTGACTGAAGTTCCATATCTAGGTAGGACAAATAGTATTAAGACTGCCCAACTAGGATGGCAGCAGTTACAATGAATGTTAAAGACTTGGCGGGGTGGGGAGGAGATGGCAAGAGTAGAGGTTGTGATAATAAAAATTTTAATTGCTCCCAAATGCTTAGGGCAATTGCTTTGAAACAAGAAGAGATTAATCTTTTAGCTTCAGAAATGACTGGTTCATGGAGGAGCTACTCAGGGAGTGCTGAGGAGGAGAAGCAGTTTTTCATTTGGTCTTCAGGTGTCCTTAGGAGGCCTTCAAAACTGTACAATGACCATGGTCAGAATATAGGTATACTTAGGTTCTGTATCTTTGCAAGAGCAATTAAGAAGAAGTAGTCCATTAGAGTAGTGTTTAATCTCAAGGAGATTAATGACAACATTGAGAAATTTTGTGTGAAAACAATAAAAGGGGAATGTGCAACGTGGATTTTTAAGGACACTATGTTAAAGCTCAGCGTGAATGCATAGGAGAGACTTTGAGTGTAGAAGAGACTACTTGAAGACATCCTTCAAAAACTTGAACCTGTATCCAAATGGGGAAAATTAGCCATGGACCTAAGTGCTGGCAAGTTGAATGTAAAATACTCAATAAGATTAAAAGGGTTTTGAGGAGAGTCTTGTGAAAAACAAATAAACTGCTTTCAAATGCAGCACATGTGAGAAGCCTGCAGGACAACATACTGCCCAGACATGACCAAGATGTGAGAGTGCAAAGAAAATAAAGCTGTAGCAGAAAAAATTTAGTTAAGTGACTTGTGTCTGCTGGAGTGGAGCAAAAAGAGGCTTTTTTAAGCTGAAAATTTTAAGAGAGCAAAGCTGGAGGACAGCTCATAGAGAAATACTGTCCATGGAGGTGTTAAAACTGACTGATAAAATGAGCAGTAAAAAAATCACTGGGGTTGACAGTAATGCCCAAGGTTTCTACAGGAATGCAAGAGCCAGCCGAGTGAATAGCTGTGGTGTGTAATCTGTCGCTTAAAGCTGCCTTGATACAGAGAAATGGAAGGCAGCAAACATGATGACAGGTCTTAAAAGAGCTTCCTGAGGATCAGCAAGTCTGATTTTCAGTTCTGCTAAATGGTAGAAAGAATACTAAAGAGTGCCGAGTATGTGGACAACTGGTAAGATTGCTTAGAGCACATTTGGATTTCTAAAAGCTTTCGACGAAGTCTTTCGTCAAAAGCTTTAAAGAAAGTAAATTGATGTGGGAGAAGAGGGTGAGTCTTTTTCCCATCACTTAGTCAATTCTTAATTACTAAAGTAATAAATCAGATTTCTTGGTGGGAAATTCTGTGTTCAACATAATCATAAATGATTTGAAATAGTGATAAATGGTTAGGTAACAACATTTGCTGATGATACAGAGTTTTTTGGGAAAATAAAAATTAATCTACTGCAGAGAGCCGAGGAAAAGTGCTGAATGATAAAACAGATGAAATAGTAATAAATACAAAGTAGTACCTATGGGAGAATTTCACAGGTACAATGATGGGCTCTAAAATTTAGTATTATGTTTCAGTAAAAAGATATTAGAGTTACTGTGGGTAACCTACCTCATTTTGTAAGGAGTCAGAAAGGCAAGTGGCAAATTAAAATTTAATAGAAAAGAAATAAAGAAGAAGAAACCAGGAAATCCTGTGCCTCTCCCCCTATCTTTAAAACTTTGTGATTTTGGTCATTTGAACAAAAAGGTTAAAATGGAATTAGATTGTACAAATTATCTCAGGGTCAGTGAAAGATATGAAATGGCTTCTGTTCAGGAGAGAAACTGGTTTAGGATTTAGCTAGATTGGGATTTTGGAGGCTGGAAAGAAGATGATTTAGGCAGGATGTAGTAGGAGCCTGTAAAATTATGGATGGTGTGGAAGAAGCTAATAGGGAACATATGTTCACTCTTCCTTGTGTTGGAAGAACTACAGGGAAGCAAATGAAATTATCAAGTGACAAACTCAAAACAAACATGCAGAAGTATTTTTTGTCAATGTGTCATTAGATTTGTGGAACTCGCTACCACAAAACGTAGTGGACCATAAATGGGTTCAGATCAGTGGAAGAAAAAACCATCAGGTCACTAAATATGAAGGAGCCATCTCTGGCTCAGGTTTCTCAGAAGCAGAGAGAATATTCTGGGGATAGGTTGTTTGTTGTATACCTGGGGGGAGAACTGAAACTATTTCCTTACATTTCATAATATTTCATAGAACATCTTAAGAACCATTTAATTCTGAAAAAGTTTTTTTCACTTATTTTTAAGAATCACAGCCCAGCAAACAAAAGGTGCAAATGGCATTGTATTTCAGTCTTCTTAAAAAAAAAAAAAAGGGTAAAGGGCAGCCATGATGAGCTTGTCCAGAAACCTGCAATTTCATCAGTGTACCAGCCTCACCCTGATAGGTTCAGGTACTTACTTGTTGCTTGATAAATAATGTGTTAAAGTCTCAAACATCCCTTTCCTGTTTTCTTCCTGGTAGTTATGGTGTGCTGCTTTGGGAACTGCTAACAGGAGAAGTACCATTCCGAGGAATTGATGGTCTTGCAGTAGCGTATGGTGTTGCCATGAACAAACTTGCCCTTCCAATCCCTTCCACGTGTCCAGAGCCTTTTGCCAAACTCATGGAAGGTGAGTATGGTTTGTGCTGTTTCCAGAGTGCTGCTGAGCGTTGCCTGCTTGTGTTGGTTTTGATACCTAAGAGCGCGGGTTTCTCAAAGGGCTGTATTCAGTGGTGCAAGTTATTCTGAGAGCTAGGCTTCGCTGTTAGCCTGCTGTGACAGTTACTCTATTACAAGGGTATTATGGGAAAGAAATTTCCCTGACATTTCTTATTAACTGGCTTTGTAGGAAAATGGGGACTATTGCTGACATCATCTAGCTTGTTTTCTAGTAGCGAAGACTCACCAACACCAAAACTTCACATATTTTCATCTAGTTTGAAGTCTTCCACTTGTTTTTAAATTCATAGCTTGAACTTCTTGTTAGGCAGTGTCAGATTGATTTGGAGTGAAGCTATCGTACTGACATTTCAGGGAGAGGGTTTAGATGTGGCTTTGACATTTGAAAACAACCCAGATTTTCAGTCAGAATGATGTGATTTTCTGCTTCATGGGTGTTCATGCCCAAGGTGGGCTACATATGGAGGAAAGAAGGACAGGAGTTTGTCATCAGAGCTGCTGTAGTTATTAAAAAGGATTTCGTGAGGGCTTTTGGGGTGCACGGCTGTGACCTGCTCTGCTGGCTATTGCAACTACTTACATATCTGCCAAGCTTCAGTTGTTCCTCCCTCTCTCCTTCCTTCCCTTCCTCTCTCCCAGTAGTTAGTACCTTTTGTGTTTTACTCACTGGCCCTATTCCCAAGGACTTACAGGTATTTATATTTTTATACCTATCTGGTAGAAAGAAAAACTGGAGTAAATAGAAATCAGACATGTTTTATAGTCTTAGTGAGCAAAGAATGAGTATAAATGTAAAACTGACATTTTATGGCGTCTGGTGGTGTTTTTAGCCCCAAGAAAGGAATTCGATTCTTGCAAGAAAATGTTTCTGATGGATTTCTCTGCTTTTAGAATATTTTGGCATTTCTGTAGTTTTTTCCATAGGTTACAGGCTTCAGTTAAAGTAGAAATTTTCATGTACTGCTGTGCTAAAAAAATATCCTACTAGATCATAAACCACAGCAGAGTTGCAGGTGTAGTAACTTGGAAGCAACATAAAGCAAGAAACTGCATCTGAATGAGTTAATGGAACTACCAGCTCAGTGTTGTGCCAAGGCGGTTTATTTTGACATGGTTCCCTAAAACAAGGATGCTGGATTTCTTAAATACAAGTGAGGTATCTGCTGCTGGGGTTAAAAATAATGCCCTCTCTTGGGAAAGTCAGGTAGGGGCATATGGCCTGTGCTTGAACCCAGCAGGGCAGGGGTGAGCACCCACGTGGCTTTGGAACGCTTGGCTTCTCCGTGTGCAGGGGGAAGAAGAGAACAAGAAAACAATTACTTTCTGCCCCTTCACCAAAACTGTTTTTCAAACAGGCTGCTTCCCGTCTCGGGTGAACTCTTGTTCCCTTAATGCTGCTTTTACTTTTGAATTACTGCCCTGGTGGTCTTCACTGAGACAACAAAGCTGAACTTTCCCTCTTCACAGAAAGGACTTGTATGTTACAACTGTCCTCATTAGTGCGAATAATGGTAGATCCAGGCCTGGGAAAAGAAAAGCCATGGGCCACCTGCGTAGTTGTCCTGTTCACTCATTCATGCATTTGGCTGGCTGCAGCATTTTGTTTTACTTTGGGTCACGTTTGCTTTGCCACGCTTAAAACAGGGGGTAAAGAGGCAGGGATTATGGCACTGACAGTCCAGCTGCATCACCCATTGCTTCTAATTGGTCAGCAGCAGGGGACCTTCAGAGCACTCTTGAACATCCTCAGTTCTCTATTTTGATAAGAGAAGCAATTTGAAATCCATAAACACAAGTGTGTTCCAGCTCATGCCTCCTGGAACCCCATCAGGTGCTTAAATACCAGCATCTTGATACCAGCAGTTTTGAACCCAAGGGTGCCAAATGCAAAATCTCAGTAACGCCAAAATCAAAGAAAAGACCTGCAAAACCAAGCCTTGGCACTTGCACAGACTTTGTGAAGTGTTATTTATTTTTCATTACAACTGCACCTTGGTGTCTTTCAATCCACAAAACTGATGAACGTATGTCTTTTAGGATATCACCAACATTTTTTTAAGAATGCTTCCTTTTTTCCAGCTCTAAGGTCTGGGAAACTTTAGAACATTTTCATAACTCTTGCCTTGTGCTGCAGTAGTGTGTGTCCTAAATCCAGGGACCGTTTAGAACAATGATAGTATGAGCATATTGAGACCTATGTGTGACTTTCTTCCATTCATACACAAAAGCTGTATTCCCTAGAAATATACATGAATGCTAGGTTTTTCTCCTTGGTTCTTCTCAAATTTCGGCATGCAGTAGTAAAGAGAATAAGGACACTTGTTGAAAAAACCTGTGCAAGAGTCAGCATGGGGTAACATGGAATGAGAAAGTGATGTTTTTCTGCAGGAGGAGAAATAATAATGAAGTAAGAGGGAGGACCAAATGAGTAAGAATTCTCTATTCAAAGGTGTTGTCAAACATTTTGAATTAATGGCTTTTTAAAAACGTGTTCTTAATGATTTCATAGCTTGAGATGTTACTTCACACCATCTTATATTTCTGTTTCTGTTTTCAATGTTCAATTCCCATCACTGTAAAAGGAGTACCTTTTTGTACTATCGCTAGTTAAGTTGCCTTCTGGTAAGATGGGTACCTTAAATTCTGTGGTTTTAGAGCTCTGTAATTGGGTAATTCATTGCATTAGATTGTAAACAGAAAAGCTTGTTCATCTGTGGTTTCTCTTAAAAGCAAATGAAAAAAGCCTGATCAAACAATTTTCTCTGAAATTATAAAAAAGAACCCTTAAAAGAAAACTGCAAATGCACTATTTGATGTAATTATTTACCTGAATCTCCTGTTTTCACTTGAGTTATGCCCAGTCTGCCTTGCTGGAGAGATTTTCAGTTCTGTGGAAGACATTCATAATGACTCAGCTTAGAGAGTTTGGCATGAGAAAGAACTCTGATAGATACCCTTCTGCAGTATGGCTGTTAGCTCTGCAGTGTAAGTGTGATAAAAGAACTGTTAACAAGAGTCTTGCGTAGTGTCTCCACTCTGCACACATACAACTTAAAGCAAAATATTTAAGGAAATTATTTATGATATTAAAATATATGCTTCAAGATGTAACTTTCTGTAAAATTAGTAAACCTCTATTTTACTTGGCATATTATTGCAATAGAACCTAGAGGCCAGGTAGTTCAAGATCTTAAGTGATGCTGGATATTGTATAAGCATGAAAACATGAATTCCATTCTTGACTTGGGTTTGGACAATGGTCCATTGAAGTGGGAAATGGGAAAGATGGGGTAATGCAGATAGTGTGCATGCCACTCTTAGCCACTGGGGATCAGTAAAGTACTGCTCAGCCTCTCAAACATCCATACTAAGAGATGCTTAACAGTTGCTTATCTTTGTCCTGTTCTAGATTGTTGGAACCCTGACCCACACTCACGACCCTCCTTTGCCAGTATCCTAGACCATCTCACTGCCATACAAGAGTCTGGTTTCTTTGAAATGCCCAAAGATTCCTTCCACTCCCTGCAAGAAGACTGGAAACAAGAGATCCAAGAGATGTTTGATCAGCTCAGAGCCAAAGAAAAGGTAAGTAGAGAAAAACACTTCATGCTTGTGCTCTCTGGATTATAGTTCTCCCATTTCATACTTTAAGGCAGGGATCATCCTTTAGTGCATCCCAGAGTTAAGTTTGTGTGTGCTTTACTGGAGCTTTTAACAAGTCTCCAAATCAATAACAGGTCATGATGCACACCAGGGTAGAATCGAGTAAAACAAATATCTGTATCCTGAGCTGCTACTCTTCCTAATATTTTAGTGAGCTTCCATTATATGCTGTGCAAACTGCTATGATGAGTTGTCTTAATTGTTTAATGCATCTGATAACTATTTCACTCTTAGCATCTTAATTGAGAAGTCCAATGATAACTGTTAATAGTAAAAGTAGGAGGAGTAGTTTCAGTATATATACTCTAGCAAACATTGCAGCTTTGCTTTTGTCAGGTTTGTGTTTTCCAGGTTCTGAGCGCAGCCAAAGTGGATAGACTATAATAAACATGAGTGCTGGCCAGGGGAATGGTCCGATAGCCGTTATAATTGAAGCTCACCTGGATAAATAGCAGGAAGCGAAAATGCTAGCAGGAATAAAAGGAATTGTGACCATCAGCCTCAAAGAGTAGAACTTAAGTAAAAAAGCTGAAGTTTTCTTCAAGCATACTTGTAGAAAGCACATCCTGCTGCATCTATGTTAAGGTCCTTACAGAGACTGTCTTTGCAGTTGTTGGTGTGATACACTGCAGTGGAATCACTAAAGTAATAACATTTTTCTAAGTTCACAGTCTTTTGCCTAAAAATAAATTCATAATAAACAGCCAACTTGATTTGGACTCACAAGTTGGTTTTAGGCAGCAGAGAAAAAGCAAAGGAGACCTTGGGTCAGGGGAGAGGAGTCCTACAACAATACTTGGAACATTTATTTTCACAAATTATAGGAGCTTTTGGGAGAAATAAAACAGCTAATAGGCATTTCTCTGCTGCTATTGTCCCTGTGGTGTATCTGTGTTGGAACAGATTTTAAAAACTGCAAACTTCAATAGGCAAACAGAAGATGAAACAGTAGTAGCTAGACTAGCCTCAGATTGTGAGTACTGTATTCCTGTGCAGCAATGGAGAAATGGAATTCTGTATCCCATTCACCTCGTGAATAAAACGTACCAAACCTCTGTGGTGACGGGATGGGTAACAATGACATTCTTAAAAAAAAAATAAAAAAAACCTAAACTAAAATCTATCTGTTAATCTATCTGAAGTTTAACGTGAATTCTTCAGTTTTCACCTTCTGCAGTGGAATTAGCCAGCTGGAGATAATTATTCTGAGTGCTGAATTTTTTTGTCCTTGTGGTGAGAGGAGAAGGGTGCAGTGAGAAGACATTTTGAGATCTCAAGGATGATTTCAGATGATTCATTTTGTCATCAAGGGAAATATTGAAAAGTTTGCCTTATGTGTCTTTATGCCTAAGGAGCAGCCATGCTGGGTGGAAAATGATGGAAATGACCTCCTGGTGATATTTTCTTAATACATTTTTATGTTAGAGCTGTGGTTTTTGCTATTTTATAATGCATGAGATGGCAAGGTTGTTTTTAAACAGTTTAAGTCAATATTGAAGTTAACGTAGGTACTTACTGAACAGGAAAGCAAGGATTGATTCTTTTCGACGTTATGAATAAATCTTCCAAAATGGGTTCCCTTATGCATGGTACTCTCCAGTGGCTCTCGTAAACATGTTCGTGTCAGGTATCCAGCGTATTTTCTCACGACACTGAGTGTAGGATTCAGTGCCTTTTCACAGGATCACAGGATGGTTGAAGTTGGAGGGAACTCTGGATGTCGTGTGGTCCAAATCCCCTGCTCAAGCAGGGCTACCTAGAGCCAGTTGCTCAGGACTGTGTCCAGATGGCTTTTGAATATCTCCAAGGAGAGAGGTGCCACAACCTCTCTGGACAACCTGTGCCAGTGCTCGGTAACGCTCGCAGTTAAAATGTTCAGAGGGAATCTCCTTGTGTTTCAGTGTGTGCCCATCGCCTCTTATCCTGTCACTGGGCATTGCTGAGAAGAGCCTGGCTTAGTCTTCTTTGCACCCTTCCTTCAGGTTTTTATATACACGGATAAGATCTCCCTTCCCCACACCCAGGCCTTCTCTCTGCTGGGACAAACAGTCCCATCTCTCTCAGCCCTTCCTCATACCAGAGATGCTCCAGTCTCTTAATCATCTTCATGGCCCTTCACTGGACTGTCTCCAGTATGTCTATGTCTTTCTTGTACTGGAGAGCCCAGAACCAGACATAGGATTCCAGGTGTGGCCTCACAAGCGCCAATGTTTGATACTGATATGAAGGGCCTTGAATGGCAAGCATAGAACTTCTTGAGGATTGTTTCAGGTTTTTGGCTTTCAGCTGTGCTGTGAGCACAAGTCATTGCGGCTGTACCTTCAGATAGGTGATGTTAGTCTTAACCCACTGGTCACAAGATAGCTTTTTGTTTCTTTTTTCTTATCTCCCTGCAGGAGCTGCGCACATGGGAAGAAGAACTGACTCGTGCTGCTGTTGAACAGAAGAACCATGAGGAGCTGCTACGAAGGCGGGAACAGGAGCTGGCAGAACGTGAGATTGACATCCTGGAAAGGGAGCTCAACATCATCATCCACCAGCTGTGTCAGGAGAAGCCTCGGGTGAAGAAACGCATGGGGAAGTTCAAGAGGAGCCGGCTCAAGTTAAAAGATGGCAATCATATCAGCCTGCCTTCAGGTTGGTGACATGTTAGGCTGTGTCAGGTGGGAAATGGGAGGAACAGGTGAACCTGTAGCTTTGGTAGCTCCTTTCTACTGATACTTACACATTAGAAAGTATTGGATATACTTTGGGAAAGACATGCCTCTTTGGGGTCAAGAAACTAAATTTGATGCTCTTGGGGCTAGCATTCCCCAAAGTTCCAAGCATGAAGGCCAGAAGTAAATTTGAGATGTTACATGTTTGTTAGTCAACGGCTGTATATGGTTCATAGTAAAAATGTTGGTGTTGCAGTTTAACACGTTAATACTCAAAAGAGTTTAATAAAGAATGTACATTAAAAAATGGAGGTTCTTACTCTGGGAATATTTCGTAATGCTGCAGCAGAAGCCATAATCTACTGGATTTCCTTTAGGAAAATTCCTAAAGGAATCTAAAAATTGTCAAAAACACTTGAATAGCTGTGAGACTAAAGCCCTACATTGCAAGTTCATATGTGAACCCATATTAACACCCAAGTGACCTCTATTACCACCCTTCTGGAAGAAATGCTAAATATTGGTGAGGTGTCAGGAAAGTCACTCTTAAGAGTGAAGATGATGATTTTCAGAAATATGGAATCCTTAGTATTTCTGTGGCAGACCAGATCTTTGTTCTGAAGTAACTGTGTGTATGATGGGGAGATAGCAATTAGCTGTGTAACTTTATTTCTACATAGATCTTGTAAATTGCACTCTTTGAATGTTACTGTAAATTATTATTTATTTTTTCTTATATTAAAAAAAAGCATTTTAACTGTGTCCTTCTGGTTTTGTTTTGATTTTTTTTATTTTTCTTTCTGTTCTTTCTAAACAGATTTCCAGCATAAATTCACTGTGCAGGCTTCTCCAACGATGGATAAAAGGAAAAGCTTGATCAGTAGCTGCTCCAGCCCTCCTGCAAGTCCTACCATTATTCCCAGACTCAGGGCCATACAGTGTAAGGAGCTCAATGTAGTATTGAATTTGGGAAATGTGCAGTCTGTCAGCGTGGTAAGACGCCAAGATTCCGTATCTAGCACAGGACTGTAAAAAAACAAACAAAAAATTATTCCTAAAGTGTTTGCCTAATGCTCTGAATGTGTGCCTTTAGAGAGAAAAATGGAGTGTGGTGCTGATGGGGGGGTATCACCTTCTTTGGAGTCCAAACCTTACTTACCCAAGTTCTTGAAATATTGCTGTTAATAAAACAGATCTAGGCAGACAAGCAAGTATTGGCAGTGTGAAAGGGATGTTCATGAATGTGTAGTGTTTGTATTGGATATCGTGACACTTGTGTGTCTGGTATCAAACTGGTGGTTCCAAAAGAAAAAACAGTGATGGAATAAAACTGCAAAGGGATCTGGTTGTTAGATCTGTGTTGATAAATGGTCAGAATTATGGGAAAGAAGCTTGAATGGATATTTTCATTACTAATGCTGTTCTGGCCTGTGTTTTATTTATTATGTTGGTGTGGAACCAATTCTTTAACTTACGTATGTTTTTCTTTCCCATTTTCCACTGTTCTTTCCACTTGTGAAAAGCAGTAAAACATGGGGACGAAGCTCAGTCCTTCCAAAGGAGGAAGGAGAGGAAGAAGAGAAGAGAGGCCAGAAGAAAAAGGGACGCACTTGGGGACCAAGCTCACTTTGTCACAAGGAGCTAGGTGCAGGAGAAGACGGGTAAGAGAGGGCCTGGAACCAGAATGGTTTCCAGATTCTAAAACTGGTTGTGAGCTGGCTCACAGGAGATCTGCCTATCCTCTTGCACCCACTTACCTGCTTCTAAACTTGTTTGCTGTACCAGAGGTGTTAGAGATCCAGAACAGATTACAAAACTGCATTGCATTCAGTTCCTTGCTAGAGGTCCAGTACTGACTGATGCTTTCTCTGTCTGCCGTTACCTTGTTACGTGTATTTGTAGGCAGTAGAACTTCTTAGCTGTGAAAAACTGTTTCTGTAGTAGCTCCTCTTTATTTTTAGGCTCAACTTTCTGTAGTTTCATATTGTATATGAAACTACTTCTCTTTTACAATTCTCAGCTATGCTTTTTCCTTTCTTAAATACTGTTATTCAAAAAGTATCTGGTAGAGCCAGGCAATTATCTTCTCTTCAGGCTTTTGAAGATAATACCTTGAATGAATACATCCTGAAAGTTATTTTTGCAGAGATACAGGTTGAACCTCTGTTTCTATAGATTCTTGTTCTGTGGCTTATTTGTGTGTGAATTGTTTATACCTGGTCTCCTATGGATCATTGCCAAAATGCTGCTTTAAACATAGGCACATTTTGATCTTCTAAGAGGTTTGAATGCTTTGTGATTTTTTAATGGAGTTTGAAGCTTTTTCCTGTGCTAAATTGATAGTTTGACTCTTGATGTATTTTGTAGCAGGGAAAATAACTGATTATTATTTATATTTAATATTATGTGCTCAGGTGTGAAATTCCTGGAAAATAGATGTTAACGTAATGCATCACTATTGCAGTCCCCCTCTGCAAGAGGGCCTAAATCTTAAGTGTTCTAATGACATTAAGATATGTTCCCTCTCAGAAGTGCTCTTGACATGTTAACAGGGCAACGTGGACAAAGCTTCTTCCACTGCTGCCTGTGCTTTACCTATTCTATAGATGAAGTATAGCATTCTGCAGAATTAAAACAGATGTCACACTTTGCAATCGTTAATGATACAAAAAGACAGGAGATCACTGAAGCTGGCAGAAAAAACACCTCTACCTTGAAATCATGTTCTTAGAATTCTGAGAATAAAGCTCTTCAGTTTTCTGTTCATTACTGTACAGTCTGAAGCCCTGAATTGCTTTTGGGCACAGACAGCTGGAAAGGAGTTGCTCTTAGAACTGTTCTCTCTACAACTGAGATGTTTACAGTATTCATCACCTTTTCCAGGGAGACTCAATACAGCTGTGGCATTTTGCAGACTATCTAAAACACAATAGTGTTGCTGAGTGTGGTTAACATACAATGAACTATTGTGTCTTGCTGAGATCATGCCAGCCTGCAGACTTTAATTTAGAGGGAACAGAGTTGCAGTAAACATTAGTGACTCAAAAGATACTCACTCAAACTCACTTGTTTGGTTTTGTGGGTTTTGGGTCTTCCGGTCTGTAAGTAAAAGAAACAGTGACATGATTTATGAGTTTAGTTACCTGGTTTTCCGTAATCTAGAACTTATGCTTTTATCTGTCTGTACTTCATTCAATGCACTGTTTTCCTTAGGAGAAATACTGGATATAAGAACAGATGTATGAATATAATGTAGAGGCATGACTTTGCTGGTACAACGACTTTAGCATGTTGTTGTCCCAGTGAGTGATCTTTGACTTTCATTGTTCATTTGTATTTCACATGGAAATATTTTTCCCCTCCTCCTGCTAAGCACTTTATTTTTACCTGCCACAGTAGGTCTGCCTTGGTTTAAAAGAAAATGTTTCATCTGATTTTTGTAGTGGTGCTTTCTGTTATTCTGCATTCATAGCTGCTGGTTACCAGCAGAGGTCTTTTGACTGCCATGGTGTAACAAATAAAGGGAGGAACTTTTTGACTTTTTTTTTGTATTTTAAGGTGCTGTAAAAATGTTGCAAAATGCCTTGCTATGGGAGGACTTCAAATCTATGTAACTAAGATAGGTACATGCATACCTTAAGTAGAGTAATAGAGAATATGGAAGGGGGGAATGAAGTTTGGTTGTGAGCATGGTACATTTTCTCCCATCTTTCTATTATTTCAGTCTGAAAGCTCTGGTAGAAGGATACAAACAGTGGTCATCCAGTGCACCGAACCTTGGGAAGATCCAGAGAACTGCTCCTGCTTTTCCAGGATTCACCAGCTTAGCAGAGATGGGTAAAAGAATTACCTGTGCTTTATTTTCTCTTCTCCACTTCTATTCACGTTTAAATGAACCTCTCATTTATTGTCCGTCACCTGGTACCTTACAGCAATATTTTACTTTGGTGGTACCATTTTTCTGTTGTTCTTTGTGTGAAGTAACTACTGTCTCCTGGATTTTCTTTTTATTCACCTTCCTGCTTGTGCTGCTTGTCTGTGAAGCTAACAAGCTTCTCTTAATTCCCCTCTGGCCCCATGTTCTCCGTTCCTTATCTAAATAATGACATTTAGATGTTGTGACATGGTTACACTTGCAAGGAGAGATCCTTATAATTTTCCTACCTTTTGCTCCTCACTTCCAAACATGTAAATTTACTCTAGAACTAACTGAGGCATAGATTGCTTCTGAAATGCAATTGATCCCAAATAGATTAATGTGTCACTAATTTCTTCCACTTTGATAGTGTTTCCAGTTACTTGTTTCAGCCTATCTGGTCTGGAGATGATAGCCTGTGAGTATTTAGCAGTTGGTGAATGATGCTTGTGACGAAGACAATTGCATCTCCCGAGGAGAAGCTTATTTTCATGTATATTTGTAGGACAGTGAAATGTGCCAGTGCAAATGTTACATCCATGCAAAGTCTTTTTGTTTGCTTTCCAGATGATGAAGACAGTGAATGTCTTAATGGGGAGGGCAAAGTGCATCCTTCACCTGGGCACAATCAGTCATACCTCTGCATCCCATTTCAGAAGAATGAAGACTGGGATGGCCCTTCTAGTGATGCCAATGAGGAGTCCACCCCTGTGAACTCTGCTACTAGTACACCACAGCTGACCCCCACCAACAGCCTCAAACGTAGCGGCTCCCACCACAAGCGATGTGAGGTTGCATTGCTTGGCTGTGGAGCAGTGCTGGCTGCTGCAGGCTTGGGTTTTGATCTGTTAGAAGCAGGGAAGTGTCAGCTCCTGATTGAGGAGGAGCCAGACGCACCGAAGGAAGAGAAGAAGAAGCGTGACAGCATTTTCCAGCGAGCTGGGCGCCCACGCAGGAGCACTAGTCCACCTTCCCGAAAGATCTTCAAGAAAGAGGATCCCATGTTGTTGCTAGGCGAGCCCTCCACATCCCTCACCCTTCTTTCCCTGTCTTCCATTTCCGAATGTAATTCCACCCGGTCCCTGCTGCGCTCAGACAGTGATGAGATTGTGGTGTATGAAATGCCTGTCAGCCCAGTGACAGTCAAGGCTCCTTTGCCAGTCATTACCAACCCGCTGGTCAATGTCCAGATTGAGAGGTTCAAACAAGACCCCAACCAGTCCCTGACTCCCACACATGTGACGGTCTCTTCCCACACCCAGCAAAGCAAGCACAGGCGCACACCTTCTGATGGGGCCATCAAAGGGAGTGGACTAGTTGTCAATGGGTGCCCAACCAGTGGATGCCCTTCCAGTAGCTGTTTAACTGGAGCACTGGGAGCAGGTAGGTTTTCAGACATCTTCCTTTTCCTCTTCAGAGTAAAGAACCAAACAGTATAATTACTTGTTAGGAAGTAACATGTTGCTTATACAGTGTCCGTTGTGATGGCCAGTGCACAAGAAGAGCTTATGGATGCTATCTTTACACCAATAATGAACAGAATAATGCACTAATGGTCTCTGTTCCAGCGTCTCTGTGCAAAGGAACTCTCTCTGCTCCCCTGCGCTGTGAGGCAGAGCATAGTATTGTTTCTTAGACAAGGATGGTACCAAAGTACAAATATTGTGCATTTTTTTAACAGTTCCTCGGGATTCCATCTCCATTGCCTTTATACGCTTGTTTGTATTGTTGTTACAATTGCAAAGTAAATTATGATCTTTAAGGCAGTGAAAACTGGATCTCTATAGCAGTTTTGGGCTGTGCCACTGTTGCTCTTACTTCTTTGCAAGCAAGAGGGATCTTCCTGGGTAGGTAGTGTTGTCACTGTTGCAGTCTTTTGAGTGGCAGTGACTTGATAACTTAAAAAATGCTGTCCTGTTTTCTTGCCCTAGTAATTAAGAGGGGAAAAAAAAAGGTTAGAATAATTAAAAACTGTTTTAATTAGGCTTTTCCCAATGGTAAAACAAAATGCGAGGTTATCTGTTGAATGGCAGCCTGCAGTAAAATGTGGGTTAATGCAGCTGAGAATACTCATTAAAATGATATTCATGAAAATGTAAAAGTTATGTTGTGCTTATAAAAAAACCATAAACATCATCCCCCCACCCCACACCTAAATGAAAATAAACCAGGAAGCATCTGTAAGAGGCAGTGTTAAATGAGTCTTCCAGGAAGTTGGCCCTGCTCGCTGGAAACAGGTCTCACACATCCTGCTGTGCAAGTGTCTCCCTGATCCGTTCAAGCTGTTAATGGGTAACGTGCCCTCTGAAGGATTTGGAGAGCCCTCACCTCTCATAAGAGGTCAAGTCCATGCTCTCCAGTCTGAAAATTGAAGAAGGCAAATTAGAGTATGAACAAAGCTTGCTGCTTGTCCTAGGTCAGTGAAAGAGGTGTCTTGCAATGAGTTGAGAACAGTGTGGGGATAAAGAAATCAGTTATTCACTTCAGATTGGTGTAATCTTGAAGATACGGAGTTTGTAGATTCTGAGTGGAGGCTTTCTGCTTTGCAAATGTTTTCACAATGTATATACAGTAAACTAAGATCTGTTGGAACCATTTAGCAGTGACATCTAACATGTTTCCCTCTTCTCTTACATTCTCTGTTTTGGATAGGTGTATTAAAAACACCTAGTCCAAGTAGAGATCCCAATGAGGTCCCTCGCCTGCCAGACCCCAACCTTGTTTTTCCTCCAACCCCGAGACGATGGAATGCACAGCAGGACCCCACACTGGAAAGACCCAAGACATTGGAGTTCCTGCCCCGGCCACGTCCTGCAGCCAGTCGGCAGCGGCTCGATCCCTGGTGGTTTGTGTCACCCAGCAATGCCAAGGGTGAATCTTCTGCCAACAGTTCAAGTACTGATACTCCAAGCAATCTGGACTCTTGTTTTGCTAGTAGCAGCAGCACTGTAGAAGAGAGACCTGGACTGCCTGCACTGCTTCCTTTCCAGGTGGGTCTTCCTGTAGAGGAGCGGACACTGTTGGACATAGATGCTGAGGGGCAGAGCCAGGACAGCACCATTCCGCTATGCAGAAGTGAACTTAACACACACAAAGCTGCAGCATATGAACTCAAGCAAGAATTCTGGTCTTAGTATGAAATCCACTGGGGACAGTGAGCCCCTCTAAATTCAATCCTACTTTTTGCACTGAGAATGCACTTTGAAGACAGATGAGATGGAGGGATGCTACAGAGATCATATGGTGCTGCCTCTGCTGAAGATGTGTTGTTTGACTGCCTGATTTTTGTCTGCAGTTGGATGAGACTTGGCAACTCTGAGCTGCTGACTTTTGCTGTGGGGTTTTTCTGTAGTCTTCCCTGCCCTCTTATTGCAGTTTGAATCTGCAATGAGCTAAAATTATCATATCAAAGTCTTTGTTACTGACCTTGTAGGATTTGGCACTTGCAGTAAGTATATTGGTATCTATCCTGATATTAATCAGTATTTTCAAAGCTCAAATATTACGCTACAGCAGACACCAGTGTTTGATGTTTTCCCAAGGAATCCAGGACAGAAATAAGGAAATATCTGGAGACTACCTTCTCTGAAATGTGTTCAGATCATTAGATAGGCCTGGGAATCATGGTACCCCACTGGAGGAGCAGAAGTAGCTACCTTAGATTCACTTGTCCTCTTTTGCCCGTGTGATAGTGCAAGGTGAAACAGATTGCAGAGGAAGGGCATGGCATCGCCACTGATGGAGGTCTTTGAGAGCAGACTAACTAGACTGTTGGGAATGAGTAGATGTAGTTGATCCTGGCTTCAAGGCAGGTTGAATAGACTTCAGTGATCTCTTGAGGTTCCTCTCAGCCCAACTTTTTTATGACCCTGTGCTTTCAAAATGATGAAGGCTTATGGTATGGCTGTTTAGTCTAGCTTGCAGTGTTTGTTTCAAACATCAGCCTTGTTTTCCTACTCTCTGTGTCCCAGGCTCACAGTCAAGCTGCCTCAGCTTTGGGAAGGGAATTGGCAGGAACTCCTCCTTTAAAGCTGTGTGGGCTTGCACAAGTAAGTTATATGTCCCTTCACTCTCTTTTTCTTCTCCCTGTTTTTCCCCCTTTCTTATGCTTTTTAGGAGTGGCCCTTGAAACCCAAGACTGTTCTTATGCACGCTGATACTTGTTTCAGGCTCTTTTGAAATTGAGGCTTGTTAGTAGTTGGATTGTGCAAACAGGAATCAGAACATCTGGATTCTGTTTTATTTTGTCACTGACTCACTGTGTGACCTTGGGCAAATAATGTAACCTCTGTGCCTGCATTTCCCCATCTGTAAATAATAGGGATAATACCTACCTCACAGGGGGAAGGTTTGGGACATACATAATAGGTATAAAGTCCTTTGAGATCCTTGAGTGAAAAGCACTATAGCATGTAAAAATTATATTCTTGTTCAAATATTTAAAATCTCCTAGCTCTCGAGCAAGAACAGACCCCTGTCCTGAAGGAGGAGGTCACACAAATAGGCTGTGCCTATGCTCAGTTTTCGGTACACAGACTGCAAGTGTGTCTGTGCCTCTGCAGGTGCATCTTACTGGCTTTAATCAGAGCTTCACTCCTCCCCAGTTTTGGCATTAGAAATAAGGCATGTGGCCTTTATATGAGTGTAATAGGGTAGTCTGCTTTATTGCAGGGTACAGCATATCTGTTGGCTCTCTTTGCACAGATCTGTGCTCATTTTGCTGATCTGCTGACCAGTATGTGTGGGGAAGTACTGAACTTAAGGTTTTTTAGTTCTGAGGGCTAAAACCAGCCTGTTGCCATTAGTCAAGTGCACCCTTTTCCCAAGCAATTACAGTATGTTTTTGTGTAGAAAGGTCACACATTTCTTGTTTATCATGTTCCATGAAATACGTTTAATGGCAGAATTACTTTTTTCTGCTTTCCCTCATTGAGTGCTCCAGAGCTAGCCTTAATGATGCTACACTAGCTGCTGAAGCTGAATAGACTGTTGACTGCGTAGGCAAGGTATCCTGATGTGGGGCTAAGATACTTTGAAAAGAAAACTTACATTTCTGACACTTTTGTTAAATGTAGACTTTTAGCATTATTGATTTCTTGAGCATTCATCCTTTTGCTTTCCATTTCTGAAAACTCAAGTTTGTGATCCAAAGACTTAAAAAAGGTAAAACCCACCTGAACAGATGGTTAATTTTGATTGTGCTATAGGAACAAACTCGAGGAAAGCCCAGTCAGAGGCTGTGTCAGAGGGACTTAAAAGCAGGAGATTAAAACTGTCTATTTTTCATAGTCTCCTGGATCAGCTGTTCTGAAATGTCATGTTTTTTCTGTCCAAAAAATCTCATTACAGATGTCGTAGGAAGCATCATCTGTTCTGCAAAGACATCACCTAGAATAGCTTCGTTTGAACAGAAATCTTTAATCCATTTACTTGTGTGGAATGGGAGGTTACCTTTCTAGGTCACGTTGTTTTAACTCAGCCCACTAAACTTTCTGATAGTTGGCCAGTTGCTTTCACTAAGTGAACCGTAAGGTTTCTGTCAAGTTCCCAGCAGGCAAGACAGCTATAAAGTCAAGTTTTTCTGTCACCGCTTTTGCTCAGGAAAGTTGAGGTTGAAGTATCAAAACCCCTTTCTCCTCTCTCCCTTTTAGATAATCACTGGGTGAAAGTGGTGTGTAGCTGACCTGTTAGAAGTCTTTTGCTCCAAAGAGCATCTTCCCTAACACCAAATGGACATTGCTATATCAAAGAAACATGGCAAGGGAGTCAAGGATCCTGATCAGGGTTTCCAATCTAAATATTCTCTGTTACAAAGCTGTCAGAAAAACTAGGTAGAAGCATAATTTTTGGTTTGGTTAGTTTGTTTGGAGGTGTTTTGTTTTGTTTTGTTTTTAAACACTCCTTGGATGCAATTATCTTCACTGAATCTAGCATGTGAAATAGAATGAGGTAGTCTTTGAGCCTTGGCCCCTAACAGTTTTCCAGTTGGGAGCCGTGTGCCCGGAGGTATCAGGCAAGAGGAGTCTGTTGTAGAAACAAAGCCATTTTTAGGTGGTGGGTATTCTCCAACAGTCAGAGAGGGCTCTCAAGGCAAAGAGTTGTCAGGTGTTTTACCTTATGCATCCATCCAACAAGCTCTTGCAACTGGTGTCCTGAGGCCCAGAGGCTATGTGCATGTTTAAGCTAGCTCGTAACCTCTCCCTGCATCCATCTATCCCAGCCTGGCTTGATTTCTCGTCTTTCTTAATCTGTTGGTTTGTTTCCTTCCCAGTTGGAGCTGAGGTGCTCCAGATCTCCAAAGGAGTGCTTCACTGTAGTCCACTAGATACTGAGAAGATACGAGCCAGTCAGCTCACAAATCTTTCTTTCTTCTGGTTACTAGTGTTCCGATTTGTCAGGGAGACAAAAATTTCAGAATTATGTTGACTGAGATACCTTTCTAGCAGTGTTCTTGAGGAAGATGGTGAAAATCTTGATATGAAAAAAATTATAATAAATATATTGTTTCTTAAATAGCTGAATAAGTTGCACCTTTTTTTTTTTTTTTGCTGAGAAAATGAGAAAAAGATAACATAAGAGCACAAAATCACTGAGCAGTCTAAAACATAATAACAGAAGAAGAGGGTGAAATGTGTGAAGGTAATTACAGGGCTCACAAAGAGGCAGTGACAAATTTTGTAACTGGTAGTAACAGTAGTAAGACTGGTGCTGAGGGAAGTTTTTCTGGTCTGGACATATAGATGAAAATGTATTTTCTTTTTTATAGTCAGCAGACAATGTGTATGACTAATTTATGTCACTGATGTGCTGATTTAGGAAACAGAAAAAAGTTTGCCAGCCCTTCAAAATATGCTATCCTTGTAGCCTGGTTGTTTTTACTGTAAAATTGAGGGGAAAGCGCAGACCTAGCAATCAGTGCAAAACAATGACAATTGTTTGGACACATTTTTACTGGTTTCACAGAAATTGAGTGGGACAAATAGAGGAAAGCTTTCATGTCAAAACTAAGGTGATAATAGCTGCAGATTTTTTTTTTTTTTCTAACACTGTTGCTTCCTATGGAGTGCCCAGTGCTCTGTTTTGCCACCAAGTAGGTCTTACCTCCTTTCAGTCCTTTTCGGAGGTGCAAATGTAAGTTTTTACAGGTATGTTTTTTCCCTTCAGATTATTATTGCAGTGGGTTGATATTTAGTATGGGGCAGGGAACCTCGGTGAAAATTTTCTTTCTGTAATGGTTTTCTAACAAAATGTGTCCTTTCAAAGTGAATTTTTCATTATTGATGTGGAAGGATCTGTTCTGGTTTGGCGTGCTTTTGTGATGGAGGTATTTTTCTGTATATCTAGGAACAGGAGTAGTTGCCTTCATCTTCACAGCATGCCATTATCTGAAGACTTTATTGCCAATACTGCACAGAGGTGTTACTTTGATTTGTCATGAAACTGGATACCTCTCATTCTGTTGAAGGTGAGGCAGTCATGGTCAAGTAAAGACCATTTGCCATCCACAGTGTTGCATTAAATAGAAAATGACAGGAAACCTCCCAACTTCAGTCACTTTTCTCTCTTGAACCTAACTTTTATTTGAAACTCAGTTCATCTCTGTGGGATCAATATGGCAGCTTGAGTCCTATTAGATGTATGGAATCAAAGTGAATACTGTATCCCAAAATTCAGTGATAGCCTGTTACTTTTGTAAGTATTTTTAAGCTAATATTATTTTTTTATTTGTTTTTTTGACACCTTTCTTCTTGCGGAAAAAAGCTTACAGCTTTCTAACTTTTTCCATGCATTTTGGAAACATTCTCAAGAACTCTTACCAACTCTATGGCAAATAAGGAGGCTTATATCTTGCACAGTGATACAGGTCCTCCTTTTGGCTTCACTTTTTTCAGTATGAAAGAAGGATGCCTCTATTTGGAAATTAAGATTTCTGTTCTTTATCCTGTCACTGCAGAACAGTTTCTTAGCTTCCATATTTATAACTCACTCAAAGCTATAATTTGGGTAAAGCTGGAAATGAAGAGTGAGGGGATAGGCATCTGTTGAAACATATTTGCAAAAAAGCAATAAATACAGCACGTATGTGCAATGAGAACCAAAACATGCCGTTGCAGAGGATAACTTTCAGACTTGC